AGCAGTGCCACGTCAGCAGTGCCATGTCAGCAGTGCCACGTCAGACACAGTGCCACATCAGCAGTGCCACGTCAGCAGTGCCACGTCAGCAGTGCCACGTCAGACAGTGCCACATCAGACAGTGCCACGTCAGACACAGTGCCACATCAGACAGTGCCACATCAGACAGTGCCACATCAGCAGTGCCATGTCAGACACAGTGCCACGTCAGCAGTGCCACGTCAGCAGTGCCACGTCAGACACAGTGCCACGTCAGCAATGCCACGTCAGACAGTGCCACGTCAGCAGTGCCACGTCAGCAGTGCCACATAAGCAGTGCCATGTCAGCAGTGCCATGTCAGCAGTGACCCGCCACCATGACGGGCTCACTTCTGGGCATGACAGGCCAACTGGCAAATGAATCCATTGCCGAATACCAACAGCGGTTTGAAACTCAGCTCGCACTAATCGCGGCTGAGGAGCAACGCCAGCTGGCAGCCAAGGCTGCCCAGCTACAGGGTGACGAAGCGTCCGCAGCAGAGAAGCTCCGGCTACAGGCCGAAGCAGACGCAGAAGTCCAGGCTCGCCGCAAGGAAGCCCAGGATCTGCTGCAGCGGCATGAAGCCAGCAGCATCGACAGACTCAAGTTCTGGCACTTTGAACCGAACGGCGACGATCCAACACCGGAAGAGAAGCATAAGGAGTTTCTCTCCAAACTCGTGACACGGCTGTTGTACACTTGCAACTACCAACGGTCCGAGTTGGAGAACCAGTACCAGGACCTGACGCAACAGCATCAGGAGTTGGCAAAGCTCCGCCGCACAGTGCAGAGCCACGAGGATGCAACTCGGGCACTCAATGCCCAAATGCTGGACCTGGAACAGGCTGTACCAGGACCAGCTGTTGGGGCTTCCAGCAGTGCATCCTCTAACCGCCAACTGGAGGAACGCATTGACCACGTAGTGGCAATGCTAGGAGACATAAGTGCCTTCACAGAGCCGGCCACCATCAGCCAGCGTTTCGAGTTGCTGGACTCCAAGTCAGCAACAGCAGACCGACCACAGCCACAACAACAGCTCGGCGAGGCCATACAAGATGCCGACGTTCCGGATCGAGAAATTTGATAACTACACACATCAAGACCCGGTCGTCTGGTGGCAAGGATTTACAACGGAGTTGGGGATCCACGAGGTCCCTGACCATCTGTTCATCAGTTCTTTGTTTATCAACACCAAGGGCGGATGTCAGATCTGGCTCAGCCACATGGCAACCATCCACGGCGTCCAGGTTTCAGACCTGTACAAGAAGGTCTCCTGGGAACATATGACAAAGGAATGGAAGAAGCGGTTCATCGTCGACGACGCCCCGGCACTCGCCGTCAACCGCATCTTCACAATGACTCAAGGGAGCACATCGACACGGGACTGGCTCACGGAATGGCAGAAGATCGCGGCCGTGCCCGATCTGGAATTGGCATTCACGCATCTACGCCGTGAGTTCTACAACAGGTCATGCGCTGCGTTGAGCCAGGCACTTGGTGATCGCGAGCAGTACTCAACCTTCGCTGAGATCATTGGCAAGGCGAGGGAAATCATCAAGACCAACAGGGCAGCTGCACACGAGAAGTCAACGTGGCAGCCGACCTATGTGGAGAAGGTACGCATTGGTCCGCGACGGCAGCACTTCGCTGCAGTCCAATCGGACAATGGAGATAACCGAGCAGCCACTCCAGCATCAAGTGACGGAGATCAGGTGGCTGTTGTCCAGCCGCGAAGCAACAACAAGTCCCGCAACAATGGGAAGGCGAAATCCGCATCGCAGGCCGGAAATGGACAGCCTGTACAAGTTCCATGGGTCAAGTTCGGCTTGATCGAGGCGGGGTACAAGGTCCGCGGCCGCTATGGCAGCTGCTATTGGTGCAACAACACCAAGCACAAGACCTCCCTGTGCCAAGATCAGGGCAAGGAGGATGTGCGACCCCGCCTCAACTCGGGAAATTGAGTTCCGCGGAAGGTGAGGCGACTCCACCTTCTACTCCGCCAGATTCGGCCGCGTTGCTAGCGGCCTCCTGCACATCTGGGGAGGAAGCGAATGTCGCAAGTTCTCGTTACACTTACGAGGACTATGTTGTCCACTTGGTTCCACCGCTGGACCAACCGCTCCGCGTGCAACAATACATCGCATGCACGGTTTCATTACCATCGGCAACCGATTCGGCAGCTTCGCCCCAATCTATCGCCAGGGACTCGACGTCATGGTCAAGACTTGAAGAGCTCGATCCGTTGAGGTTCACGAACTTCCAGTGGATGCCCGTTCCCTCGACCGGACGATTGCCGAAACCGCATTACAACGTGCTTATAGCACAATTGCGGGATTACTTGCACACTGCAGTACCCACTCCGTTGATGGATGCTGGAGTAGAGGTTGTCGACCTTCACGCCTACATTGTGAAGATCGACCGCGAGTTCAAGACGCAACCGTACGACGACATCGACGCACCATTGCTATACGTACGCATTCAGATCGGAGAGGCGACCTGCAGCGCTTTGATCGATTGCGGAGCATCTTGCAACTACATCAGCCAGGACTTCATGGTGCGCGCCGGCCTTGGCCCACGTGTCCGGAGGAAGTCCCAGCCTACGCAAGTCACGTTGGCAGACGGTCATACGCACAAGTCCATCGACCGGTACATTGATGCCGTCCCCGTGTACTTTGCCCCTCACGCAAGTGAGGCGGTGCCCTTTGATATTCTGGACACCAAATTCGACATGATCTTGGGCATGTCATGGCTGCGAAGCGAGGATCACCCAGTGAACTTCTTCCACCGCACCGTTCACATTCGTGATCGGAACGGAGTATTAGTTCCATGCACGGTACCTCTTCCTCATCCTTCGATCAGCTGCCACGTGGTATCCGCCGCAAGCATGCGAGCATCCATCATCAGAGACGACAGCGAGTAGATGGGGGGGTGTTTTCTCCACGCCCTCCCGCCCCATGACGCTTCATCGACGGACTCATCTTCGAATACACGCATCACCGAGCTTCTCGACGCCTACAGCGACGTGTTCGAAAGCCCTCACGGAGTAGTACTGGATCGACTCATCCGCCACGAGACTATCCTCAAGGACAGGGCCGTACCTCCGCGCGATTGCATCTACCGAATGAGCGAGGAAGAGTTAAGTGTGCTCCGTGCACAACTTGACGACCTTTTAGAGAAAGGCTGGATTCGGCCTAGCTCATCGCCATACGGTGCTCTTGTTCTCTTCGACCAGAAGAAGAACAAGGACCTGCGATTGTGCATCGATTATCGCAAGCGCGCCGGCCCTCTCCCACGCATCGACGATCTTCTCGAGCGACTGGGCGGCGCCAAGTTTTTCTCCAAGTTGGACCTTAAAACAGGATATCACCAACTCGAGATTCGCAAGGAGGATCGTTACAAAACCGCGTTTAAGACGATATGGGCATTTCGAATGGCTGGTCATGATATTTGGCCTTAAGAATGCCCCAGCCACTTTCCAAGCGGCTATGACAACGGAGTTCCGACACATGCTGGATCGATACGTACATATCTACCTCGACGACATCCTGGTGTACAGTCGGAGTTTGGAAGAGCATGTGGAACACTTGCGCACCGTTTTGGAGCGGCTACGACAAGCCAAGTACAAGGCCAACCGCGACAAGTGCGAATTCGCACGACAGGAGCTGGAGTACTTGGGACATTATGTGACGCCGCAAGGTATCCGTCCGCTTGCGGACAAGATCGAGGCCCTACAAGTATGGCCCGAGCCCACCAACACCACGGACGTTCGTTCATTCATGGGATTGGCGGGCTACTATCAGCGATTCATCAACGGATACTCAAGGATTGCTGCACCTATGACGAGGTTGCAGTCGCCAAAGGCGCCATTCGTGTTCGATGACGACGCACGCCGGTCATTCCAAGCACTTAAGACGGCCATGCTCATGGCACCCGTCCTCAGCATCTACGACCCCACCCTGCCGACGAGAGTGACTCCGGACGCTCTGCAAGGAAGAAGGAGCTACTCGCGTTCGTCATGGCTCTCAAGCGATGGCGGCACTTCCTCCTTGGGCATCGTAGGTTCACATGGGTTACAAACAACAATCCATTGACCTACTACAAGACGCAGGATACGGTGAGCAGCACGATCGGACGATGGATGTACATCATCGACCAGTTTGACTTCACACCGAAACATCTTCCCGGCCTCTCAAATCGCGCAGCAGATGCACCGGTCCGTTTCCTCGCCACCGGCTCGGGCACGGCGACATCCTCACGGTTGTGGACCGATAGAGTAAGTACGCGCGTTTTCTCCCTTGCAAGTACTACTCCACGGCTCCACAGCTGGCACGCCTCCTGCACACTGGTTGGATTTGTGGCCACGGTGTACTAGAAGACATAGTCAGCGACCGCGACACTCGTTTCATGCAGGAGTCCGGCACAACAATGAAACCAAGTTCGGCTCGACATCCTCAGACAGACGGGTAGACGGAGCGAGCACATAAAACCGCTCAAATGATGCTTCGTACGCTCATCCGTCCGGACCAGAAAGATTGGGTTGACCGCCTCCCCGACATCGAGTTCGCCTACAAAACTTCGGTGCATCCGGCGATCGGCGTGACTCCATTCGAGTTGCACCACAGTGGACGGAAAGGTCGGATCTTCGCCGACCTCGACCAGCCGGCATTGACGTTGCCTGCTCGCCCGCTTCCGTCCGGAAGTACAGAGAATTGCTGACTCAAGCCCGCGCCAACATGCAAAAGGCTCAAGTCCGCATGCAGCAGCAAGCCAACAGGCGTAGCGTACCATGTCCCATCCACCACGATGATCTGGTTTGGGTCTCCGCGAAAGAGTTTGCACTGGAACAGGATGTTTCACGCAAATTGCTTCCCAAGTGGTTTGGACCTTGGTCTGTGACAGTAGCCGCGGGCAATGAGCCCGATGGCCCTTCATTTGTGATCAACATTCCAGAGCATCTGACGGTCCATCCGGTCTTCCACGCCTCGAAGCTGGCAAC